AGGGCACCACGAGCCTGTCAGGGGCACCTCAGAGTTGTCAGGGCCGAGGGGCACCGCATTCCTTCCAGGGGCACCACAGGCCTGTCAGGGGCCCCAGAGGCCTAGCAGGGCCACCACAGGCCTGCCAGGGGCACCTTGGACCTGTCAGGGGCACCACGTGCCTGTCTGGGACACTTCAGGCTTGTCAGGTGCACCACAGTCCTGTCAGGGCCCAGGGGCACCACCGGCCTAGCAGGGGCACCACCGGCCTCGCAGGGGCGCCATGGGCCTGTCAGGGGCACCACGGGCCTGTCGTTGGCACTTCAGGCTTGTCACGGGCACCACAGTCCTTCCAGTGGCACCACAAACCTGTCAGGGGCACCTGCGGCCTAGCAGGGGCACCACGGGCCCGCCAGGGGCAGCACAGGCCTGCCAGGGCCCAGGGGCGAAGACACTGACCAAAAATAAAAATATAAAAAAGCAAAAAACTAAAATAGGGCACCACCAAAATTATGTGGCCGAAATCCGTTGAGTTTTAGTTTTGGGTATAGGTAGGGCACCACTTCGATTCATGACCCTCTCCCCTTGGAGTTTTCCTGGATCCGCCCTTGCATCGGTGGAAAGGGATTGATGGTGTATGATATTGAACATTGAACTCCGTGGCGAGATGGCGGGTTCAAATCCCGTCCGGCCAAGTTTATTTCTAATTCAAACAATCTAACCTAACCTAGCCTACCATATAACCTAAAGCCTACTTTCGCCTACGTAACGTATCAAACCTAACCTAACGTGTTATGTTAAAAGTAGATAAGTTGGGCTCGATTAGGTTTGGGTTGGGTACCGAGCCAGCGCCAAACCGCTCGCACATCTTCGGTAACCGTTCCAGAAATTGCCGGTCGTCACTTGGGCATTTCATGTAATGCCTAGGCAATGATTGTACTCGGCTTATTTCGACCATATTTCATCGACTGCCGGGCCTCCGCCTGGCACTCCATGAAATGCCTAAAATGTTCAGGCATTCGCCGTAACGCGCGTATTTCTACGAATATTTCAGTCTTTGCCGGCACTCCAAGTAATGCCTAGGCATTTCATGAAATGCCGGATTTCACCCGATGCCTACGACATATACACTGTGGCTTGGTCAACGCGTAATCAGCTTCCTCTGCAATATAGGCAAGTAGCCTCTACGAAAGATGGAAAATAGTGATGTAAAAAAATATAAAATCCTTTTGCAAATATTCATTATTTCCTGACCATTTTATGTTTAAAAACTCATAAAACTGTGGCGAAATAACTGGTTTGAGGAAAGTAGTTTAGGTAGGTATTTCCTTAAAGTAATGGCTATAGACCGCATTCCCACCGAGTACCTACCTTTATACACATCTGATGTCCGATTCAGTTTGACACGGCAAAGCCTCGTGTTCTATCACGGTATAATTGCTGATGTATGCCACTAATATGACCGATAATGCATATTGCATAGGCAATGCATATTGCATACCCGCGTGGAGGAGGGGGCGTTGTATAGTCACAAATCTCTCTTTTTGGTTTGTGCACGAATCGGCGCGAAGCGCCGCGAAAACTGGCAAAAAAATATTAGGCAAAACTGCTCCAAAATACGAATTTTGCAGCCCGTGTAACAAGCTTGATACCAGAAAACCTTAGGTCAGGAAAACCAAGTCAAGTAGTCAAGTCGCCTCAAAGTTTTGTGGTCCTGCAACCGTATAGCTTTTATTTCTTAGAAGCTGGAAATTTAGTGTAGCGTGACTGCAGAAGCGTGGGGTCGGAGCCGGAATTAGTCGGAGGTGACTGTTTTGGCCAGTTTTGGCCAGAGTCGGAGTTGAAGTCTTCGAAAATGTTCGGATTTTGACTTCGAGGTCGGATTGGTGTAAAGTCATGTTCTTGGCTGGTTAGACGAAATATATTAGGCCCGTGTTCGGCCAGTCGTGTTGTACGACACACGTTGATCACGATATCAAAAATCGGCAGTTCCGCGATGGCAGGTCGGATAAGCCTGGAGATTTTGTTGGCCGAGGTGGCAGGGGTCAGACCCATGCATGTGGGCCCACACCCCATATACTGAGTGTCTAAACCTCCTGGACCCTCTCAGATTCGGCACCGGCCGTTCCATCTCTTCCATCCTCAGGACAGTCAAATCCTTCTCCTCCACGCCGCAACCCCCTGCTCCGGGCTGGACGGGCAACTCTATCCCATGCGGGAATGGCTCCACTGGAGCTATAGTCCTTTGCCGGGTGCAGTGAGTGCCAGTGGGCTGGGCTGCCTGTTCAATTGGTCGGGTTCATCCCAAGTGGCTCACTAGGGTGGCTGCCCCGACCAATGTCTCCCACTAATTCTTTCATACTTGCGGCTCTGAAATGGTCTCTTTGGACCGAAGGGCCTAATCAAATTTCGAGTAGGATAACAACCAGTAAAACGCCTTTTGGGGCGACCAACGGAGCGAGCGAGAGGGTGGGGTGGGCCTTGCACGTGCGAAATTGCGAGGGGATACCTCCAACTAACTTGTGCACTGCACCCTTCTAACCGGTCCCTAACGATGTGCCAAATTTGAGCGCAATCGGCCTAGCCGTTCTCGAGATCTGGAAGCGGCACCCTGCACGTGCGCACGTGCAAAATGGGTCCCAACTGACTTTTGCACGGCACCCTACTAACCGGTCCCTAACCATGCATCAGATTTCAGCACAATCGGTTCAGCCGTTCTCGAGATCTGGAATCGACCCCTGCATGTGCGCACGTGCAGCAGCACCCCAACTGTGGCACATGGATATGCATTGCCTAGTGGGTATACCTACCCAAGATTACCTACCTACATGCCAACTTTCAGCGCAATCGGCCCAGTAGTTGCCGAGATATTGAAATTGTTACAAAACTAACACCTCTTCGTTTTTCACGTGGCACGTGCATATGGGGTCACTCACATGCATCGGGAATAGTCCGATCCGATGCTCGTTAGAAGGAATGAATCTAGATTCTAGTGTTACCCTACAAAAATTACCGCATGTAAATCGGCCAAGTGGTTGCTGAGATATAAGCCTAGCAAAAGCGTGACCACGGCATACTCAGAAATTTCCGTTAACCTACGTAAGACTACGCTCGCTTCGCTCGCTCCGTAATGAGTTTGGGGGGGGACGTCCCCCTTCAATTCTGAGAGTGGGGGGACGCGTCCCCCGCGTCCCCCCCGGTGGCGGCGCCCATGCACGTAACGCAAAACAAAGACCACCATTGAACTCCTCGTGACGAGCTGCATCGAATCGATACCCATTTTATGCAAAAATATCAACTTTGAAAGTTGACCTAATTTGACCTGATCTTGACCTGACCATGACCTGATCTTCACCAAAACATAATCTCAACTGACCACAAGGGCTGCTTGTCCCACATAATCGCATTTGGCATATAAAATGGACCATAAAACATGCATCACATGATATTTTTAATTGGTGACCCTCAGTGACCTGACCTCTGTGACCTAACCTGGTATCAGTGACCTCAAATAGCAAAATATGTGTTTGATGAACATTTCCCCATCGTTGATTTTCAATGAAATGCATTTTACTCGATTTTACAACGCATTTCTTGAAATGCCTGTAAACGGTGAAAATTCGACCTTTCACCTGACCTGTGATGTCATCGGTTAGACCGAGGTCAATGAAATTGGGTCACAAACTCACAAGGTAGTTCCTCGTTGGGGCTATCCAACGCCGTTTGCCGCTTGTCGCTATGTTGCGTGGTTCTCGAGATCTTAGGGGGGGGGGGTCAAAATGCCCCCCCCCCATCAGACCGCGTTGCTCGGCAGACCCCATCAGGGCGCGGGTTAAGACATTATACACTATACAGTCTGGGATCGGTGCAAAAGCTATTCAGCTTATTTCATGGCACCTCTCCCTCACACACACTGGCTCATTCACACGTCATTCACGTCAAGATCGGGTGAACAAGAGCAATACAATGAAAAACAAGAAAAATACAGTGAAAGTAAATACATTTACAAGGTACAAAGTATCAACTATCAACAACTATTGGTATCAACTAAGTTACGTATAAAACATAAGTAACTAAAGTAATGCTGCCGCCTCTGAGGTAAATCACTGGCGGTGTCCGCAAGAAAGGGCCGCTGGCACCGCCGCCGCCAGCCGCCGCCGAATTCCTGATGGTGAGGGATCTTTCAATGTAGCTCTGGAAGCACTCGGCGACGCGCCGACCGTCCTCTGTGCTGGTGGATTTACCGTGGAGGAGTATGTCGAGTTTTTGTTCTGATGGAAGGTTAGACCTGACCTCCACCACCTTGACCTGACCTCCACCAGGAAGTGACATAAACCGTTCGACTGATGGTCTTACAACCAACGCCATTGAATTTTTAAATGAAAAATTGGCCATAAAACATGCATCACACAGCCCTAGTAAAATTGGGTTCATGTGCTGAACTGTTCACCCTTAGTGACCTGACCCGTGACCTGACTTGGTATTATAAGTGACCTGTAATAGCAACATAGGTACTAGGCAACTTACGCCCTATCGCTAATTTTCGACAAAATGCGTTTTACTCGATGTTATAGCGCATTCCCTAGAAGACCCGTGACCGGCAAAACATTTTATCTTTGACCTGACCAGTGACGTCATCAGTGACCCAGAGGTCAATGAAATTGAATTTTCCGGGCCAAATTTGACAATGCTTTCAAATGCCGTTCGAATTTTGCGGATCCGGCCAGTATTTTCGGACATACGAGGGGGGGGGACAATAAATAGCCCCGCCCCCCACCACCACCACCACCTCCACCAGGTCGCGTTATAAACAGACTCCACCAGGGCGCGGGTTATGGTGTGTGCTGCACAATAAGTAAGAATGGGCACAGGCACCATATAACTACTCAGCAGTGCCGAATCGGCTGTGTCAGTGTAAGTGTCGTCTATATCCGTGTTTGACACCATTGTGTCAGCCGCCTCCCGACCCGGCGACAGCTCCGTCCGACTGCAGTCAGCTGACACAGCTCTCACTCCGACAGGACCGGGGGAGACGGGAGAGCCGGTGAAACTGGGGAAGAACAGACGGCCCGACCATGGGCTGGTGGTCGTCATACAACAGGCGGGAGATGACGTCATCGACCAGCTAGCCAAGGGGCTGGGACCACGGGTTACCGGGCTGAATATGCTCAGTGAGTGGCAGTGGCACGGACGGGTTATCGGTATGAGTGGTTAGGTATAGTGATGACACCGAGTAGCCGTGCGTGGTAACACCGTCGCAGCACAGGTGAACCGGGAACGTATGCATGGGACAGGTCATGGGGGTACGTCAGAGTAGTGTGATTACAACGGTATATATGACGATATCAGGAGTGGTTATGTGAACATGTCTTGCATGCACATTCACAATGCTGTTTGGTATTAGTTGTGTCGATTACATATTGTTCATATTTCTGAAGTCATACGTGGTGACCAGCAGTGGCCAAACAGGGTATTAATACGAGTGGTTAGATATAGTGATGAACATAGAGTAACGATGCATGGTTACACCGTACCAGTAGAGGAGAACGACAGACTATGAACAGTATTGGCAATGACGTCACCAATGTGTATATGTTTGTATGTGTGTATGTGTGGTATGTTCGGTCGGGTGAATACCACCGACGACGGGTATGTCAACGGCCATGATGCCACACGTGCTGGGTATGTGGGAGTAGTGTGGTGACATTTAGGGAAACAAGTATACAAGTGATAAACATCACAATAACTCGACAGATATGTAAAGCTGGCATTTCACTTCCAATGCTATTGACTGGGCCGATGACGTATTGTGCTATATGCGCAATACGCTAATATGTATGTGACGTATTGTGCCATATGCGCAACACACTAATATGCATAATGTCTGTCATTTCCCACACCATTCACCATACCATGTCTGTATGTGTCTGTGTTTCCCAGACTGCCCGCGTGTCACTGCCGGGGCCCTACAGGGGCTGCTGTCCGCCCTCACCGGCCTGGAAGACGTAACACTTGGCGGCTCTCTGTCCGGCGCCATCACTGACGCCTCACTGGCCGCCCTCCACGGCTGCTCCCAGCTGCGTAAGATACAGCTGGGAACGCCCAGCGCACTCTGTACGGATATACCGGTCAAGGCGGTCAGCAGGTCAGTCAGCTGTACACCCAGACTGGACCCAGACCAGACCAGACCAGACACGGACCAGACCAGACACAGACCAGACCAGACCAGACCCAGACCACTCAGACCAGACCAGACCCAGATCAGTCGCAGACCAGACCCAGACCCAGACCCAGACCAGACCTACACCAGACCAAGACCAATGCAAACAAGCATGCATGGTCTGTATGTATGTTAGGGCTATGTATTGTGGCTATAACAAAAGCAGTTATATATAATACTGAACGAGACCGGTGTAAATAAATTTTCAAGACCGAGGTCCTAACTGAATTTTTGAACGAGGCCGAAGGCCGAGTTCAAAAAATCAGTAAGGACTGAGGTCTTGACAATTTATCACCGGCCGAGTTTGGTATGTATTTTACTGTATGCCAACGATAAAACAATTGTCTAGACCGAAGCTCTTAGCGGTTTTTTGAACGAGGTCATCCCAAAATGTTGACTTGGTAATGCATTTTTGACCGTGGTCACTTTGCTTACACCAGTTATTACCACACCCCTCAGGCTAATGTATTTGAATAGGCCAGGCATACAGTAATTGTATAAATGTATGTACATATGTATATAAGCGCAACCATTGTTGTATCATAAGAATCGGTATACATATTACATAGGTCTAATGGGTGTATGGATTACGTGCACAATGCATATGGCTATAGCCATACATAGGTATATGCACGTAATCCAATATCAGCTAGCACGCTACCTACCGCATCGACCCCAGACTCAGAGACCGCACCCGAACGCCGAACCCCAACCGGACCGGACCTGACTTGAACTGGCCCTGTGGATACCGGACCCGTCCCCTCCAGACGGCCGGTCGGCCGGCTGGTGTCGCTGACTGGTCTGTGTTCTGTTCTGTCGCAGACTGGCGTTTACCTGTCGGAAACTGGAGGCGCTGATCTTTCACGCAATGGAGGAGCTCAGTCAGAGGGTCCTGGACGCCCTGGTCAGGGCAGACCTGGGGAAAAGCGATGACGGCACGCCGAGAACACTGAGGTTCAATGTCCCGGGTGAGTGACGGCGCCGCCCAGCGCCTCTGATCAGTCCCGCAACAGACGGCTCGGCGCCACCGGCCTCTCGGAGCCGCTGTCGTACACTCTCTCAAGGGGTCGAGGTTAACACATGACGTTGATGTGACGTCAAAACTGATATAAACAGCATATTGGGCTTGGCATCATTTTTATGCATGAATGTGATCTGTGTGACACCACTGGCTGAACTTGGGGATTTGCATTGTGCAATATGCATGTCGGATATATCGTTGTCTTGTGTTATTAGAGCTCCACTGTGTGCATGTTTTGTTTACAATGACACACAATGTGAAAGTGACTTTTAGTGTAATTAGTGTAGGTAGTGCAATTGAAAACAACTGGAAGTTATTGGCTATGATGCTAATTTTTGTATAACCTTTGATTGAGCAAAGATGTAAACAAGAAATCAGTATACCTAGTGTACTGTACTCATTGTAATAAATGGACATCCAGCGTAACCATTGGTGCCTGGCTGTCAGCTGTAATGCTGTGCTTACTGCATGTGGCACCATATACCCGTTCATGTGTTGTTTGTGTCCCGGTGAGACGTCACATCAGACATTTACGTTAGAGTTATGTGTGACGTTGCATAATGTTTGCGCTTTGTGAGGCTGAATAAAGATGTTTCCATTTATACTGTGAGAGACCACTTCGCCATTGTGTATGTCGAGTTGTGGTCATCTTCGACAGTCTTGTCTCTTTATGTAACTCTTTCGCTTCGAACCACTACCTACCTATATTTCTCGTCTTGTCCACAGAACCTGCCTATGGGAAGCTGAGACAGAGGTCCACCAGCAGCATCATAGTGTATGAGGCTACCTAGAAGTATCATTCGAAAATATCACGCCGACTCAGAATGCGCCTACAGCAGTCATCCTCAGTGAGTTCTGTTCTCTAGAGCCTTCGCCCCAGTGGGGGGGGGGGGCATATGTTACCACCCTGTCGCGTGTTTCGCGTGTAAATAAAAAAGCGCGGCGCGTAGCGCCGCGCCGCTTGGGGTAGCTTTTTGTACATTAATTTTGGACAATGTGTGAAATTTTTGACCCCAGGTCATGTCAGGTCAGGTCACCAGTTCAAATTAACTGACCAAGCCTAAAAAAGTTTGCAATCATGTCCAGTCTGCAGTGTTTGTCAGAAAGGTTTCAAACTTGGTGGATTGCATGATGTTATGGGCGCCTACAATTTGTATATCTCGGATTTTTTATATCCGTGACCTAAGGTCAGGTCAGTGGCGTGACCTTACCATTATAAGGCAATGGAGAAAAATGAAAATGCCTATAGATCCGTGTGTACGCATAGGAACAGTCCAAATATTTCACAATCACAATGATTTAGTCCACTCGTGATGACCAAGGTGTCATTTTTGCTGATAGCCTCTAGATAGGTCATCCGAGGTCACTTGAGGCTACAAACAGTTTTTTGCCAATAACTCGCGATTGGAAAGAGATAGAACGCTGGGGATGGTCTCATTGTGTTTGTCTTGTTGAGACGCATCGACTGATATGCAACATGACCTTTTCCGGTCAGGTCATGACCTTGACCTGAGGTCAAATTTTCAAGTTGACCTTTCAAGGTCAAATTATAGTTCATTCGACGCGTCTCGGTGAGGGGGACACGATTCTGGCAATAGAAATGCCATGGCTTTTTGTAGTCAAAAGTTATTGTCGAAAAACACTTTTCGTAAAAACAGCTATTTTTGGAGTTTTTGCCCTCTGGAGGCTAAACCGTTGACCTGAGGTCAATATTGATAAAAAACCTTTTCAAAAGAAAAGCTCAAAAGCTATCGTTTGCTCTTCCATGCGTTTTTTCTAGCTACCATAGTTCCTGAGATAGCGGCATGTTTTCTGAAAAAAAAATATTATGACAATTGGCAAATTTTGACCTTTGATGACCTCTGGTGACCCCAATATTGCTCTAAGGTGAAAAATGTCTGAAATACTTTCAAACGTACGCATTAAGAGCTATCGACTGCTTTTTACCGCGTCTTTCTATCAATCTTAGTTTTTGAGTTAGAGGTGGGTGGTAACATATGCCCCCCCCCCCCACTAGGGCGAAGTTGGCTGAGACCGCCACTGGGGCGCGGGCTAGCTGGTGTTATTGCATTTAGTCCCTTCCATAGGCAGGAGGGAACACACAGGTGGCAGCACCATACACAGCGGTTTCACCACCAGAGGGCAGCAGCCTACGATGAATAAACCTCACATTCTCTGACCATGAGCCGGAAACAACGGCGAGTAAGTTAGAAACTTTAGTGGCAGTAAATTTATAATTGACCTTAGATATAAAATGTGTGCCCCCTATACGGTAACGTTGTTGTAACGACCAGCGGTGGTGACTGGTGAGTTCCGAATCGGATGAGTGTGTATGAGATCAGGACGTCCCGACTTCAGAGGTCATTGGCACGAGCGGTCACTGTCGTAGGATGCCGCGAATATTTTATCGGACTTGTCCAGTGGGCAGTGACGTCATAAACAATCATATATCGATGACGTCATTGTGTCCATTCAGTCTGATATTGTCGCTGTGACGTCACTGTGGCACTATTCTCCCATATCATATAGCACCTGTTGTCTCCTCAGTGACGTCATATGTCATATTTTGTCCCCGCATGACGTCATGCTCCACCCGGTACCGGCAGACTTGTTCACCCTCGCATTGCAAGACGTTGAGATGACGGACAAATGGGACGACAGTCGGCCGGGCTTTATCTCCAGCTGGGAGCCGGTGAAGCTGCGCTCCTTCAGCACCAGCGTGCACCAGGGGGACACATTGGGGTCGAACACAATTATTTCGATCAAAACTACGCTGATTTATGACATTATACGTGTTCGAAAAAGTCCATGGACATCTCGTGTATGCTTTATATACAGGTAGAAGGACAAGATGTGAATATAATGGCGTGATACATTACAAGTAAGGCGTGAAATATGGACCAGGAACTTGTGTGTGGTTCCACAGTGCGCCGTGCAATTGAACCCAACACATTGGGTTATCTGTGGACTCTATCGAGAGCGGATGACGCACTGTGCGGTGTTTACTTTCTTCCAAATGAATTGTGTGAAATATCATTGCTGGAGATTGCACATTGCATATGTTGTGAGGTCCTACGTGCGAGCTGCTTTGTAGAAATTCGTCAGGGGACTGCCATTTACTACGTTTGAAAGAAGTTTTATGAAGGTTTAGTTGTTAATACATGTACATACTTAACGATAAACACTGCTATGTAGCTTTTATCCCGCGAGTTGCTGGGGGGGAGGGGGGGGGGGCGTTAAACGCCCCCACTTTTTTCGCCGGGCCATAGCATAAATTTTGGGTACCTGTAGAGAATTGATTAAAGTTTATTGTGACAAAGTTTCAAAAAAATCGGTCGGAAAAATTTTGAGATATCGAGGTTTTAGTGAAGTCATGATTACTGAGTTTTCGACAAAAAACGGCATATGTTCAAAAAATCATATAAAATCACAGAATAAACATACAGACATGCCGTAAACGCCATTAGACTGCCAATACCGTGAACAATCAAATGGCTATCTTCGATTAGGTATTGATTATCGTTCCGCATTTTCCAAATTATTGAACTGAAACTTGGCAATTTCTCGTGACTACTTGACGACCATGATACATGCATTTCTTAAATTGAACTTTTTGAGCCAAACACGTACACATATGATAAAATGAATGTCACCATCGTGTTCTACGCCCCAAATTACCCATAAAACATGTTTCACGGGCTGCGAATATCAGTTTTGATTTTCGGGGATATGTGCCTACCCGGTTGACCTGACCTTGACCCTGACCTATGCTTGACTGACCCCTACATGGAGCTGACACTCTTGTAGGCCTTATATGATGGATTGTGCACCGTTTTGACAGAGTTTATGACGAGAGGTGCCCATTGCGAAGTCCTGAAGTCCATGCTACTGAGAGCCCGATTTCAGGTGTTTGACCTGACCTTTACCCGACCTGTGACCTCAAAATTCAACTTTAACCCTCGCCGGCCGAGGGGGGGGGGCGGGTGCCCCCCCCCCCATAGGTTTTTTTTTCGCAATAGCTCCGAACACGCTGGCGATAGAGAGCTGAAACTTGGCATACCTGACCTTTGATCCAAGCCGGATCTTTTGACACCAACTGCATTTTTGGGTCAGGTCAGGTCACTGACCTATGACGTCATAAGTGAACCTCTGCACGGTCTTCAGATGTCGCAACTTCGCAACGCCCTCACTGCAAGAGGAGATGTCACAGGGAAATGAAACTTGCAGGATCTAGTATCTATTATGAGTCTCACAACTTGTATATCTCGGATTTTTCCTAAAGGTCATATGAGGTCAGGTCATTTTCGTGACCTCACCATCATAAGTCAATGGGGAAAAATGAAAACTGCTATTCTGGCGCCGGGAACGATCTCCAACTATCTCAAGCACACATAATCGTGATTTGATGCACTCCTTGCAAGGTTAGATGCGTCACTTTTGCAATGTTGACCTTGCGTGACGTCATTTATGACGTCATCAAGGTCATATTAGTTTTTCGTCAATAACTCTTGATCAAATTGAGCTAGCGAGTCGTGAAAGCCACCAATGGACTCAGGAAGGCCTGCCGAATCGAATGATATGCGACATGACCTCTTTCGACCAACTTCGTGACCTGGGGGTGCTGACCTGACCTTGACCTGAGGTCAACACCCCAAGTTGACCTGACCCGGACAAAAATTACATCATTCGACGCGCCTGAGCGAGGCGAACACGATGCTGCCAAAATCGCGGCTCTGCGGCCGTTTTTCCGAAGTTATTCACCAAAAACTGAACCGTACCTTGCGGCACTTGACCTGACCTCAGAGGTCACCGGTTGACCTAGGACCTTAAAATCGAGTACCAATCTCTGCGTCTCGTAACGGCGCACACGCTCGTTTTTTCCGCGACGCGCTAGCTCCACCAGGGGCGAAACGGCGAGGGGGGGTCGTACCCGCCCCCCCTCGGCCGGCGCGTATGTAGAAAACCAATAGGTCCGGTGAGGGTTAAAGTACTCATCTGAAGCGTCTCGTCGCGTTCTTTCGTTTGCCGCCTCGTGCGTTTCGCTGCGCCTATTGGTTCTCGAGTTATCGGCTGGGGGCGTTTAACGCCCCCCCCCCCCCCAGCAAACTGTGGGTGGCGAAATACCCCAGCAACTGCCGGGATATTTTGTACACATGCGGAGATCAAGAAGTTTGTGCATCGGATTGTGTCTGAATTATCTGTGACGAATCATTGATGGGCTTTATTTGTGCCGCACGGCTGCGCTGGTTTGCATACATTCTTTCTCTTGACTCCGTTTGCCTAATGCAACTCCAGATGTCGATGTTATGGGTAGCTTAGTAGCCAGTTACAACTAGCTAATGTCCTTGGAGTATTTGTTTGCGTGTTTATATGCCACGTGCGTGTGTATGATCACCAAACGTGCCTGCTTTATATCTGTAATACAGTAACGACAGTGACATAACACCGGGAGTATAATGATCCCTTTGTACATGTGGGAGTATAATGATCCCTTTGTACGTTTGGTGGACGTCTCGGCACAGAGTCCCCTTAGGACACAAAAGGCCTCTCTGAAGACATGCTGGCCACCGGGCCTCCAGAAGGAGTACAGCTCGAAGGGCAGTCCGGTGATGAGCAGCAAGAGGTCGGAGATGGCCAGGTTCAAGAGATAGTAGTTGGTCGCCGTGTGCATGTAGCGCTTATGTACGATGGTGATGCAGGTGATGGTGTTGCCCAAGGCGCTGACGAAGAAGATGACGCCGTAGAGGACCGTCAGGGAGATGATGACATGGAGGGGAGCACGTTCAGGAGCGAGGAGTGTGATGTTGGAGGTGGTGTGGTTGGGGAAGGTGGAGAAGGTGGCGATGTCGTAGTCGTCGTACGCGGGGAGGGAGGTGGAGTTTGGCGACGAGGACATTGGTGGTTCGTGAGGTCGGATGGCCGGCTGTTGGTGCGTTTGTCTAGTGAATTTGGGTTCAGTCACTCCGGTCACACGGAGGTCGTAATCCGTCTGGGTGATTCGTTGTTCAGCAGCCAGCGTCTTTAGGCCAACATCTTCGGCAAATCACTCTCACCATCACATGTGAACGTCACGTGATAAACTTCTCCAAACACCACCTCTCAGAACATTCACAACTTTTCCACCTTTTCTCAAGCTACCTAGATCTCACTCCGACTTATACCATTTAACCCTAGAACGCCTAGGGGGGGGGGGGTTGTATCAACCCCCCCTGAGGTTTTTTTCGAAGTGCACGCTAAACGGCTTGTCGTAGCGGGCTGAAATTTTCAATACCCTCTGGGGCAACCTTTGCGCATCTTTTGCCGAAAAAAAATTGATCGGGTCATGTCAGGTCACGGAGTTATGACGTCATAAGAGGTACAGCCTCCGGCCGACAGTTACCAAACGTGTGCGCCGAATCCCTAGGTTTTCTGCCGGTGATACCCACATTGTTTGATGGATCATGATGAAACTTCCCATGCATGTTGGGGCAAGCATTGGCTATCGTGTGGTGCAAGAAAATTGACCGGGTCAGGTCAGGTCATGGAGCTATGACGTCACAAGAGGAACAGCGTCCGGTACTATTTTTGAAAAGCGCCCGAACCACTATTTTGCTAATTCTTGTCACCTCAATGGGAATATGCAGCAATATTAGCTTCTATAAGGAGCAAATGGACCTCCCAAATCCAAAAATACAATCAGATTTCAAAAATTTAAATTTTGATTTTTCGAATTTCTGCCGCCGACTGTGACCTTGCCGACTTCCGGCGCTCCCAACGCGCCATTTTTAGAGCTAGGGAAACGAAATATATACCAAACGATAGAGAATTGATCAAGGAACACGATAGTGAAGGTTTCAAGTCGATATCTCCCACCGTTTTGCCGCAATCGCCGCGGAAAGTTGAAAAAGTTTGATTTTTCGGAAAATTTGACCTTTGACCGGTCATAAGTAGGTCAAATGTTGACCTAGGACCAAAAAATATACCACCAATCGCGAGATCTCGTTGAGAGCAATCCGTTGGTTTTTTCCGCTAAGCTCTACGACCTTCCGTTTCGAAACGCCAGGGGGGGGGGTCGTAACAACCCCCCCCCCTGGTCGTTCGTGTTATGAGAAATGGCCTGGTCGTGCGAGGGTTAAGTAAATCCATTTGGAGAATCTTCAGCACTGGAGAAGAGCAGGAACGTGGCTTTCAACCCGCTGAACTTTGCGCTTTCAAAAGCTGCTTCAGCAAAACATAGGCAGGTGACTAGGTTTGAACTGGGTTTCAATGAGAATAAATACCAAGCGCGTCAAGACCCGTCCGTCTCATTTGGATGTATTACAAGAAAGATGCGATGGTTTCTGAGTGGCCATGTTGACAGTTCGGCGGCGAGAGTACGTTGAGGTTGAGTCCAGTCTCAATAGTAGGCATATTGGTATGGAGATACTTGCAGGCCGCTTATTCAGTCTGGTTTGATGGAAGACAAAGACGTACTCGGAAGACTCTGTCGTGTTTATCTGTAAGAGGAAAAGGACAGTAATTAAAATAAATGTAGCCGTTCTTGACGATGGCGAAACACTACGAGAACTTATTGTGCTAGGAAATAATTTTTGAATACCTTTTTGTTTATAAGTGCCGGCAGTAAGAGAGCTGTGGCAAAGAAAAAATGTCAAACTGTGGTCGTCTAACATCCAATGGAAATTAATGATGCGTATTTAACTAACGACTTGAAATCAGAAGGTAAGAGTAGCTCGATGTTTTCTGTAACCATCATCAGTACAAATATTGCCAGACGTCTCAAAATCGCTGAAACAAAACGATTGGTGTTAAAACTTGCAGGAAGACTAAATTATATGCAACGTTGCGTCACATAATATGTGCACTGTGCATAGGCAGCCAGGGTCGCGATTGAAATATCACATGCGGGCCGCTTCCGGTTTTGCCGGTAATAATTACAGTTTAGTGCAGAATACTTCCGGTTTAGTGCAGAACGCTTCCCGTTTTTGCAGACCATTTCTAGCTTCATGCGTAACAGCACCCAGTGTGTGCGTATAGCACTGGCAGTGTTAGTGAGCCATTATCCGATGCTTTGGTAGTTTTAGTGGATGGTTTTGCAGGGCTGCGGAGTCGATGGGTTTTTGATTACTCTGGCTCCGACACCTACCCCATCTTCTAAGATTAGACTCCGAATCGAGCATGACTTAGAACTGTGACTCCGACCAGCAGCGACTCCGACTCTGACTCGCAGCCCTAGCATGTTTGCGGAGTCGATAGATGTTCGGTGACGCGTATTTGGAAATTCCGACCTCGACGAGCATCTGTGGTAGAAAACCACCACTTTGGTTACGGAGCGAGCGAAGCGAGCGAAGTCTTTCCTTAGATTAACGGAAATTTCTGAGTATGAGCGGCCGGCTGGCCGGCCGGCCGTGGTCACGATTTTGCGACGCTTATATCTCAGCAACCACTTGACCGATTTACATGCGGTTATTTTTGTAGGGTAGCTTCATTCCTTCTACCAAGTACTGGACTATTCCCGATACATGTAGGTGACCCCTTTGCACGTGCCACGTGCAAAACGAAGATGTGTCACTTTTGTAATTGTTGCAATATTTCGGTAACTACTCGACCGATTGCGCTGAAAGTTGGCATGTAGGTAGGCACCCACTAGGCAATGCATATCTATGTGCCAGAATTGGGGTGCTGCTGCACGTGCGCACGTGCAGGGGTCGATTCCAGATCTAGAGAACGGCTGGACCGATGGCGCCCAAATTTGGCACATGGTTAGGGACCGGTTAGTAGGGTGCCGTGCAAAAGTCAGTTGGGACCCATTTTGCACGTGCGCACGTGCAGGGTGCCGCTTCCAGATCTCGAGAACGGCTGGGCCGATTGTGCTCAAATTTGGCACATCGCTAGAGACCGGTTAGTAGGGTGCCGTGCACAAGTCAGCTGCAGGTACCCCCTCGAAATTTCGCACGTGCAAGGCTCACCCTCTCGCTCGCTCCGTTAGTCGCCCCAAAAGGTGTTATACTGGTAGTAGTCAGGGGAAGGAGGCCCAATTTTGGGCCGAATAACGCAAAATTGGGTAGAGCTTAGCAAAGGGTGGTTTCTGGGACAAATCCGTGACCACACGGATTTGTCGAAAAGGCAAGTAAGAAATTCAACCAGGAGGCAAGAAAACTTCTACGAAAATCGGAAAAAGGAAAACAGCTATTGCATCTTTTAGAAGAATCACCGGAAACTCCAAGGATGCTTGGACTTCCAAAACTCCACAAGGACGGCATCCCACTACGGCCCAATACTTCAGGAATCGGCAGCGCGCCACATCGACTCGCAAAAGTATTGGCAAAGCCCTTATCGAACAGTCTGGGTGCCATCAGTGATGCACACCTACGAAACAGCAACGACTTAATTGAACGACTTAAAGACTTCGACTTCACAGATAAGTACATGACTAGTCTTGATGTAAAATCACTGTTCACGAATGTACCCGTAGACGACGCCCTTAAAGTGATCAAAGATGTAGTTGATAAGATCGATGCGAACCAGTTGCGGCTCGCAAAGTCTGACTACTTTAACCCTCGCCCTGGCAGGGGGGGGGGGTCGATGCGACCCCCCTAAGGTTTTTCAAAGATAGCGTAAAAACGGCGGCGCGCAGCGCCGCCAAATTTAGCGCAGCCTATGGGGCAACCTTTTTACATATGACCTGAAAATTTCAGATCCGGGTGACCTTGGGTCAGGTCACCAGGTCAGAAAAACCGGTACAAGGTCATGGTCAAATTCCAATTTTTTATGCACCTGTCCAACTCACAGTTTTGGACCGATTTCCTTGAAACTTTCAGGATGTGCTAAGTTCACCAAGTTGTATAACATATAATCCGTTTTTTTTATGTCACTGACCTTAGGTCAGTTAGAGGTCATTACGTCGTAATGTTAAGCCTATGGGAAAATATTCAATTCGGAAAATACTGGAGATATCCGCTTCGTTCTATCATTTTTGTGCTTTGAAACCTCAGTACTTAACAGTATGTCACTTGGTGCTTCTTTGTTTGGTGTACTTATCCACGGGTCAGGTCAAATGAGGTCAACTGAGGTCAAATGACGTTTGTGCCAATAACTTGTCACACAATAAAGATACAGTTTTCAAAATGGCATCATTCTGTTCCTTTTGAAGAGCCGAGTCGAATGATATGCAACATTAAGCATTTCGACCATTCTTAAGACTTAAGTTGTACTTAAGATGTGCTTAACTTTTTAAGTACACTTAAGCAAACAAAAAAGTATATCTTTCGACGCGCCTTGACGTGCTGAGTTCACTGGTGCTTTTCTTTTTGCTCTATCTTAATTAGATCAAAAGTTATAAGCGAAAAACGTTTGACCTGTTTTTAGCAAAATTTTTACATTCATACCCCCCAAAACCCCCCTTAATATTGACCTAGAGCAACCAAATTTGCACAGGGGCGAGAACTCCAGGGGGCCCACCTACCTACCAAATTTGGTG